AAATTTTCCCAACCCCACTTCGCAATCCAGTGTTCTTTCTCTTTTTCTCAGCTCTGTCTCTTCTCTCCTTATTTTCCACTCTTTTTCTTCTTCACTGATCTGCTATCTCTCCACTCTGTTCCCACTGCCCATTTTCCACTCTACCCCTCACACACTGCTAAAGTGTTGGGAAGCTAGGGCAAACTATTTTTTTTCTGTTGAAATCATATCTTTAAAACCTCTTGGAGTTTTGGCAATGAAATCTCACAGCCTCAGATGCTTCTAGCTTGGTCACCTTACTCCTGTTAGATTACTGCTTTTTGTTCTACAAGGAATTTGCCCTGAAGATGGTCTAGATTAGTGGTCTCTAGATCTTTTGGAGCTACCACCCCTTTCCCTCCTGAATGATAACCCTATCACCATCCCAATGTGTATTTCTTGATACTAGGTTTACTGTTCTACTGCACATTCAGAATAACCACTCTTGGTCTCTGCTCCCTTTGTCAGCCAGTCACCCTTGAAGCAGCAACCAAGTAGCTGGCTGAGGAGTGACTGAAAGGCCTCTCAGCCATGTTGACATTGCAGCAGAGAAACACACAACTGAAGCACTGCTGAAATATGTCCATCCAGCCTGTGTTTAAAGATCTCCAAAGAAGGTGAGTCCACCACTCTCTGAGGCTCCCTTGCTTTCTCTGCAGTGTTCGTGTGTGGATGATGAGTGTTGTAGTGATGCCCTTTGGCACCCAGCAGAGTCTGCAGGACAAGCTGGCTGCTGTGATCCACAGCCACTTTGTAATTCTTACCAACAACTGTAGTTCAGCTTCCCTTCTTCAGGATCCTGTCTTCCTCAGTCAAGAAGACACATTGTAAAGTCCAAAAGCATAGCTTTATTAATGCATATAAAAAGTAAAAATAAAATAGCTAAGTAAAATCCATTGTGATGAACTTGTCCAGTTCAGCCATACAAGATTACATCTTTAACAATCCAAAAACATTAGGATCCAACTTGTTGCAGTTAAAACCACTGTTTTCAGCCACACATGCTCACATCTTGAACAATAAACAATTCTAGACAAAGGATTTTTTTAGGCCCTTCCCATACTCCACCTTTTTGGTGTTAACCTTATTTTAATTGGATAATGCCTGTATGATGTCTACTCTTGCTGTCCATCATCCACCACGTGACTATCTTTCCCAAGCTAACAATGTTTACGTATAATTGTTATCAAGACCTTCTCATAATAAAGTCTGTGTCCAAGAGTTGTATCTTTGGGAAAGTATATGTTGATGTCTGTGTAACCACCTGGTGTTGATTCACTTTGTTTCTCTAAATGTTATTTGTGCTTTGCCCAAAAACTGTTCTCAAGTGGAAAATTACAGACACACACACATCTTTACATTTCACCTTTGACTGTATATCCCATCCATATCCTAACATGCAGACCTTAGAGTAATGATTATTGAGTAATCCTTATGTGTGTTTCTTTTTATCAACTATAGTTTCATTAGCTGATTGTTGTGACATGCCCTAAAATCATGTGTGATGAAATATATTTGATGGATAAAATAAAATAAATAATGAATCATAGAATCATAGAATCATAGAGTTGGAAGAGACCGCACGG